CCATGTCCACGTCCACGTCCACGGTCCACGTCCACGTCCATGTCCACGTCCACGTCCACCTCCACGTCTAGTCCACGTCCTGTCCACGTCCATGTCCACGTCCACGTCCACGTCCATGTCCACGTCCATTTCCACGTCCAAGTCAACGTCCACGTCATGTCCACGTCCACGTCCACCTCCACCTCCACGTCCATGTCCACGTCCATGTCCACGTCCACGTCCACGTCCACGTCCCATGTCCACGTCCAAGTCCACGTGCCACGTCCATGTCCACGTCTATGTCCACGTCCACGTCCACGTCCACGTCCACGTCATGTCCAACGTCCACGTCCACGTCCATGTCCACGTCCACGTCCATGTCCAGTCACGTCCATGTCCACGTCCACGTCCATGACCACGTCCATGTCCACATCCCCGTCCACGTCCACTCCACGTCCATGTCACCCTTCACGTCCACGTCCATGTCCACGTCCCCGTCCATGTCCATGTCCACGTCCACGTCTACCTCCACGTCTATGTCCACGTCCCTGTCCACGTCCATGTCCACGTCCACGTCCACGTCCATGTCCACGTCCATTTCCACATCCAAGTCCACGTCCATGTCCACGTCCACGTCCACCTCCCCTCCACGTCCATGTCCACGTCCATGTCCACGTCCACGTCCACGTCCACGTCCATGTCCACGTCCATGTCTACGTCCAAGTCCACGTCCACGTCCACGTCCACGTCTATGTCCACATCCACGTCCATGTCCACGTCCACGTCCACGTCCATGTCCACGTCCACGTCCACGTCCATGTCCACGTCCACGTCCACGTCCACGTCCACGTCCACTCCACGTCCATGTCCATGTCCACGTCCATGTCCACGTGCACGTCCATGTCCACGTCCACGTCCACGTCCACGTCCACGTCCATGTCCACGTCTACGTCCACGTCCACGTCCACGTCCACGTCCACGTCCACGTCCATGTCCATGTCCATGTCCATGTCCACGTCTACGTCCACGTCCACGTCCACGTCCAGTCCACGTCCACGTCCACGTCCACGTCCATGTCACACGGTCCATGTCCACGTCCATGTCCACGTGCACGTCCACGTCCACGTCCACGTCCACGTCCACGTCCACGTCCATGGTCCACGTCCACGTCCACGTCCACGTCCACGTCCATGTCCACGTCCACGTCCACCGTCCACGTCCACGTGCCATGTCCACGTCCAAGTCCCACGTCCAAGTCCACGTCCACGTCACGTCCACGTCCATGTCCACGTCCATGTCCACGTCCACGTCCACGTCCCACGTCCATGTCCACGTCCACGTCCACGTCCACGTCCAAGTCCACGTCCACGTCCACGTCCATGTCCACGTCCACGTCAATGTCCACGTCCATGTCGACGTCCACGTCCACGTCCACTTCCAGGTCCACGTCCACGTCCACGTGCACGTCCACGTCCACGTCCACGTTCCACGTCCATGTCCACGTCCACGTCCACCGTCCACGTCCATGGTCCACGTCCACGTCCGCATGTCCATGTCCATGTCCACCGTGCACGTCCACGTCCATGTCCACGTCCCAGTCCACGTCCATGTCCACGTCCACGTCCATGTCCACGTTTACGTCCACGTCCACGTCCATGTCCACGTCCACGTCCACGTCCATGTCCACGTCCATGTCCACGTCCACGTCCACGTCCACGTCCATGTCCACGTCCACGTCCATGTCCACGTCCACGTCCACGTCCATGTCCCACCTCCACGTCCACGTCCATGTCCACCTCAACGTCCACGTCCGTGTCCATGTCCACCTCCACGTCCACGTCCGTGTCCACGTCCAGGTCCTCGTCCACGTCCACGTCCACGTCCACGTCCACGTCCACGTCCATGTCCACCGGTCCACGTCCACGTCCACGTCCACGTCCATCTCCACGTCCACGTCCACGTCCACGTCCATCTCCACGTCCACGTCCACGTCCACGTTCCACGTCCACGTCCAAGTCCACGTCCAAGTCCACGTCCAAGTCCCACGGTCCACTGTCCACGTCCATGTCCACGTCCACGTCCACGTCCACGTCCACGTCCACGTCCACGTCCATGTCCACGTCCACGTCCACGTCCACGTCACGTCCACGTCCACGTCCACATCCAGGTCCACGTCCACCTCCACGTCCACGTCCACGTCCACGTCCACGTCCACGATCAGGTCCACGTCCACGTCCACGTCCACTCCACGTCCATGTCCATGTCCACGTCCATGTCCACGTGCACGTCCATGTCCACGTTCACGTCCACGTCCACGTCCACGTCCACGTCCACGTCCACGTCCACGTCCATGTCCACCTCCACGTCCACGTCCATGTCCACCTCCACGTCCACGTCCATGTCCATGTCCACGTCCACGTCCACGTCCCCGTCCATGTCCACGTCCACGTCCACGTCCATGTCCACCTCCACGTCCACGTCCATGTCCATGTCCACATCCACGTCCATGTCCACGTCCACGTCCACGTCCATGTCCACGTCCACGTCCACGTCCATGTCCACGTCCACGTCCACGTCCACGTCCACGTCCATGTCCACGTCCACGTCCACCTCCACGTCTATGTCCACGTCCCTGTCCACGTCCATGTCCACGTCCACGTCCACGTCCATGTCCACGTCCATTTCCACGTCCAAGTCCACGTCCACGTCCATGTCCACGTCCACGTCCACCTCCACCTCCACGTCCATGTCCACGTCCATGTCCACGTCCACGTCCACGTCCATGTCCACGTCCAAGTCCACGTCCACGTCCATGTCCACGTCTATGTCCACGTCCACGTCCACGTCCACGTCCACGTCCATGTCCACGTCCACGTCCACGTCCATGTCCACGTCCACGTCCATGTCCATGTCCACGTCCATGTCCACGTCCACGTCCATGACCACGTCCATGTCCACATCCACGTCCACGTCCACATCCACGTCCATGTTCACCCTTCACGTCCACGTCCATGTCCACGTCCACGTCCATGTCCACGTCCACGTCCATGTCCACGTCCACGTCCACGTCCATGTCCATGTCGACGTCCACGTCCATGTCCACGTCCACGTCCACGTCCACGTCCATGACCATGTCCACGTCCATGTCCACGTCCATGTCCACGTCCACGTCCACGTCCACTTCCAGGTCCACGTCCACGTGCACGTCCATGTCCACGTCCACGTCCATGTCCACGTCCACGTCCACGTCCACCACGTCCACGTCCACGTCCACTTCCAGGTCCACGTCCACGTCCACGTCCACGTCCATGTCCATGTCCATGTCCACGTCCACGTCCATGTCCAAGTCCACGTCCAAGTCCACGTCCAAGTCCACGTCCACGTCCACGTCCACGTCCATGTCCACGTCCACGTCCACGTCCACGTCCACGTCCATGTCCACGTCCATGTCCACGTCCACGTCCACGTCCATGTCCACGTCCACGTCCATGTCCACGTCCACGTCCACGTCCACGTCCACGTCCACGTCCACGTCCATGTCCACGTCCACGTCCACGTCCACGTCCATGACCACGTCCATGTCCACGTCCACGTCCACGTCCACGTCCATGTCCACGTCCACGTCCACGTCTACGTCCACGTCCACGTCCACGTCCACGTCACGTCCACGTCCACGTCCACGTCCAGGTCCACGTCCACCTCCACGTCCACCTCCACGTCCACGTTCACGTCAACGTCCACGTCCAGGTCCACGTCCACGTCCACGTCCACGTCCACGTCCACGTCCATGTCCACCTCCACGTCCACGTCCATGTCCACGTCCACGTCCACGTCCACGTCCATGTCCACGTCCATGTCCACGTCCACGTCCACGTCCACGTCCACGTCCACGTCCATGTACACGTCCATGTCCACGTCCACGTCCACGTCCACCTCCACGTCCACGTCCACGTCCACGTCTACGTCCACGTCACGTCCACATCCACGTCCACGTCCAGGTCCACGTCCACCTCCATGTCCACGTCCACGTCCACATCCACCTCCACGTCCATGTCCACGTCCATGTCCACGTCCACGTCCACGTCCACGTCCACGTCCATGTCCACGTCCACGTCCAAGTCCACGTCCATGTCCACGTCCACGTCTATGTCCAAGTCAACGTCCATGTCCACGTCCACGTCCATGTCCACGTCCATGTCCACGTCCACGTCCACGTCCACGTCCATGTCCACGTCCACGTCCACGTCCATGTCCACGTCCACGTCCACGTCCACGTCCATGTCCACGTCCACGTCCACGTCCACGTCCACGTCCACGTCCATGTCCACATCCATGTCCACGTCCATGTCCACGTCCATGTGCACGTGCACGTCCACGTCCATGTCCACGTCCACGTCCATGTCCATGTCCACGTCCACGTCCACGTCCACGTCCATATCCACGTCCATGTGCACGTCCATGTGCACGTCCATGTCCACGTCCATGTCCACGTCCATGTCCACGTCCACGTCCACGTACATGTCCACGTCCACGTCCACGTCCATGTCCACGTCCATGTGCACGTCCACGTCCACGTCCACGTCCATGTCCACGTCCATGTCCACGTCCACATCCACGTCCATGTCCACGTCCACGTCCACGTCCATGTCCATGTCCACGTCCACGTCCACCTCCACGTCCATGTCCATGTCCACGTCCACGTCCACCTCCACGTCCACCTCCACGTCCACTTTCACGTCAACGTCCACGTCCAGGTCCACGTCCACGTCCACGTCCACGTCGACGTCCACGTCCACGTCCACCTCCACGTCCACGTCCATGTCCACGTCCACGTCCACGTCCACGTCCATGTCCACGTCCACGTCCATGTCCACGTCCACGTCCACGTCCACGTCCACGTCCATGTCCACGTCCACGTCCACGTCCACGTCCACGTCCACGTCCACGTCCACCTCCACGTCCACGTCCACGTCTACGTCCACGTCACGTCCACATCCACGTCCACGTCCAGGTCCACGTCCACCTCCATGTCCACGTCCACGTCCACGTCCACCTCCACGTCCATGTCCACGTCCATGTCCACGTCCACGTCCACGTCCACGTCCATGTCCACGTCCACGTCCAAGTCCACGTCCATGTCCACGTCCACGTCTATGTCCAAGTCCACGTCCATGTCCACGTCCACGTCCATGTCCACGTCCATGTCCACGTCCACGTCCACGTCCACGTCCATGTCCACGTCCACGTCCATGTCCACGTCCACGTCCACGTCCACGTCCATGACCACGTCCACGTCCACGTCCACGTCCACGTCCACGTCCACGTCCATGTCCACGTCCATGTCCACGTCCATGTCCACGTCCATGTGCACGTGCACGTCCACGTCCATGTCCACGTCCACGTCCATGTCCATGTCCACGTCCACGTCCATGTCCACGTCCATGTGCACGTCCATGTGCACGTCCATGTCCACGTCCATGTCCACGTCCATGTCCACGTCCACGTCCACGTCCATGTCCACGTCCACGTCCACGTCCATGTCCACGTCCATGTGCACGTCCACGTCCACGTCCACGTCCATGTCCACGTCCATGTCCACGTCCACGTCCACGTCCATGTCCACGTCCACGTCCATGTCCATGTCCACGTCCACGTCCACGTCCACGTCCACGTCCACGTCCATGTCCACGTCCATGTCCATGTCCATGTCCACGTCCATGTCCATGTCCACGTCCACGTCCACCTTCACGTCCATGTCCATGTCCACGTCCACGTCCACCTCCACGTCCACCTCCACGTCCACGTTCACGTCGACGTCCACGTCCAGGTCCACGTCCACGTCCACGTCCACGTCGACGTCCACGTCCATGTCCACCTCCACGTCCACGTCCATGTCCACGTCCACGTCCACGTCCACGTCCATGTCCACGTCCACGTCCATGTCCACGTCCACGTCCACGTCCACGTCCACGTCCACGTCCATGTCCACGTCCACGTCCACGTCCACGTCCACGTCCACGTCCACCTCCACGTCCACGTCCACGTCTACGTCCACGTCACGTCCACGTCACGTCCACATCCACGTCCACGTCCAGGTCCACGTCCACCTCCATGTCCACGTCCATGTGCACGTCCACGTCCACGTCCACGTCCATGTCCACGTCCATGTCCACGTCCACGTCCACGTCCACGTCCATGTCCACGTCCACGTCCACGTCCATGTCCATGTCCACGTCCACGTCCACGTCCACGTTCACGTCCACGTCCATGTCCACGTCCATGTCCATGTCCATGTCCACGTCCATGTCCATGTCCACGTCCACGTCCACCTTCACGTCCATGTCCATGTCCACGTCCACGTCCACCTCCACGTCCACCTCCACGTCCACGTTCACGTCCACGTCGACGTCCAGGTCCACGTCCACGTCCACGTCCACGTCGACGTCCACGTCCATGTCCACCTCCACGTCCACGTCCATGTCCACGTCCACGTCCACGTCCACGTCCATGTCCACGTCCACGTCCATGTCCACGTCCACGTCCACGTCCACGTCCACGTCCACGTCCATGTCCACGTCCACGTCCACGTCCACGTCCACGTCCACGTCCACCTCCACGTCACGTCCACGTCCACGTCCACGTCACGTCCACGTCCACCTCCACGTCCACGTCCAGGTCCACGTCCACCTCCATGTCCACGTCCACGTCCACGTCCACCTCCACGTCCACCTCCACGTCCATGTCCACGTCCACGTCCACGTCCACGTCCACGTCCACGTCCATGTCCACGTCCATGTCCACGTCCAAGTCCACGTCCACGTCCACATCCATGTCCACGTCCACGTCCATGTCCACGTCCACGTCCACGTCCATGTCCACGTCCACGTCCACATCCACGTCCACGTCCACGTCCACGTCCATGTCCACGTCCACGTCCACGTCCACGTCCATGACCACGTCCATGTCCACGTCCACGTCCACGTCCACGTCCATGTCCACGTCCACGTCCACGTCTACGTCCACGTCCACGTCCACGTCCACGTCACGTCCACGTCCACGTCCACGTCCAGGTCCACGTCCACCTCCACGTCCATGTCCACGTCCACGTCCACGTCCACGATCAGCTCCACGTCCACGTCCACGTCCACGTCCACTCCACGTCCATGTCCATGTCCACGTCCATGTCCACGTGCACGTCCATGTCCACGTCCACGTCCACGTCCACGTCCACGTCCACGTCCACGTCTATGTCCACGTCTACGTCCACGTCCACGTCCACGTCCACGTCCACGTCCACGTCCATGTCCACCTCCACGTCCACGTCCATGTCCACCTCCACGTCCACGTCCATGTCCATGTCCACGTCCACGTCCACGTCCCCGTCCACGTCCATGTCCATGTCCACGTCCACGTCCATGTCCACGTCCACGTCCACGTCCATGTCCACGTCCACGTCCACGTCCATGTCCACGTCTATGTCCACGTCCACGTCCACGTCCATGTCCACGTCCACGTCTACCTCCACGTCTATGTCCACGTCCCTGTCCACGTCCATGTCCACGTCCACGTCCACGTCCATGGCCACGTCCATTTCCACATCCAAGTCCACGTCCATGTCCACGTCCACGTCCACCTCCACCTCCACGTCCATGTCCACGTCCATGTCCACGTCCACGTCCACGTCCACGTCCATGTCCACGTCCATGTCTACGTCCAAGTCCACGTCCACGTCCACGTCCACGTCTATGTCCACGTCCACGTCCATGTCCACGTCCACGTCCACGTCCATGTCCACGTCCACGTCCACGTCCATGTCCACGTCCACGTCCACGTCCACGTCCACGTCCACTCCACGTCCATGTCCATGTCCACGTCCATGTCCACGTGCACGTCCATGTCCACGTCCACGTCCACGTCCACGTCCACGTCCACGTCCATGTCCACGTCTACGTCCACGTCCACGTCCACGTCCACGTCCACGTCCATGTCCATGTCCATGTCCATGTCCACGTCCACGTCCACGTCCACGTCCACGTCCATGTCCACGTCCACGTCCACGTCCACGTCCATGTCCACGTCCATGTCCACGTCCACGTCCACGTCCACGTCCACGTCCACGTCCACGTCCACGTCCACGTCCATGTCCACGTCCACGTCCACGTCCACGTCCACGTCCATGTCCACGTCCACGTCCACGTCCACGTCCACGTCCATGTCCACGTCCAAGTCCACGTCCAAGTCCACGTCCACGTCCACGTCCACGTCCATGTCCACGTCCATGTCCACGTCCACGTCCACGTCCACGTCCATGTCCACGTCCACGTCCACGTCCACGTCCAAGTCCACGTCCACGTCCACGTCCATGTCCACGTCCACGTCTATGTCCACGTCCATGTCCACGTCCACGTCCACGTCCACTTCCAGGTCCACGTCCACGTCCACGTGCACGTCCACGTCCAAGTCCACGTCCACGTCCATGTCCACGTCCACGTCCACGTCCACGTCCATGTCCACGTCCACGTCCATGTCCATGTCCATGTCCACGTGCACGTCCACGTCCATGTCCACGTCCATGTCCACGTCCATGTCCACGTCCACGTCCATGTCCACGTTTACGTCCACGTCCACGTCCATGTCCACGTCCACGTCCACGTCCATGTCCACGTCCATGTCCACGTCCACGTCCACGTCCACGTCCATGTCCACGTCCACGTCCATGTCCACGTCCACGTCCACGTCCATGTCCACCTCCACGTCCACGTCCGTGTCCACCTCAACGTCCACGTCCGTGTCCATGTCCACCTCCACGTCCACGTCCGTGTCCACGTCCAGGTCCTCGTCCACGTCCGCGTCCACGTCCACGTCCACGTCCACGTCCACGTCCACGTCCACGTCCATGTCCACGTCCACGTCCACGTCCACGTCTACGTCCATCTCCACGTCCACGTCCACGTCCACGTCCATCTCCACGTCCACGTCCACGTCCACGTCCACGTCCAAGTCCACGTCCAAGTCCACGTCCAAGTCCACGTCCACGTCCACGTCCATGTCCACGTCCACGTCCACGTCCACGTCCACGTCCACGTCCATGTCCACGTCCACGTCCACGTCCACGTCACGTCCACGTCCACGTCCACATCCAGGTCCACGTCCACCTCCACGTCCACGTCCACGTCTACGTCCACGTCCACGATCAGGTCCACGTCCACGTCCACGTCCACTCCACGTCCATGTCCATGTCCACGTCCATGTCCACGTGCACGTCCATGTCCACGTTCACGTCCACGTCCACGTCCACGTCCACGTCCACGTCCACGTCCACGTCCATGTCCACCTCCACGTCCACGTCCATGTCCACCTCCACGTCCACGTCCATGTCCATGTCCACGTCCACGTCCACGTCCCCGTCCATGTCGACGTCCACGTCCACGTCCATGTCCACCTCCACGTCCACGTCCATGTCCATGTCCACATCCACGTCCATGTCCACGTCCACGTCCACGTCCATGTCCACGTCCACGTCCACGTCCATGTCCACGTCCACGTCCACGTCCACGTCCACGTCCATGTCCACGTCCACGTCCACCTCCACGTCTATGTCCACGTCCCTGTCCACGTCCATGTCCACGTCCACGTCCACGTCCATGTCCACGTCCATTTCCACGTCCAAGTCCACGTCCACGTCCATGTCCACGTCCACGTCCACCTCCACCTCCACGTCCATGTCCACGTCCATGTCCACGTCCACGTCCACGTCCACGTCCATGTCCACGTCCAAGTCCACGTCCACGTCCATGTCCACGTCTATGTCCACGTCCACGTCCACGTCCACGTCCACGTCCATGTCCACGTCCACGTCCACGTCCATGTCCACGTCCACGTCCATGTCCATGTCCACGTCAATGTCCACGTCCACGTCCATGACCACGTCCATGTCCACGTCCACGTCCACGTCCACATCCACGTCCATGTTCACCCTTCACGTCCACGTCCATGTCCACGTCCACGTCCATGTCCACGTCCACGTCCATGTCCACGTCCACGTCCACGTCCATGTCCATGTCCACGTCCACGTCCATGTCCACGTCCACGTCCACGTCCATGACCATGTCCACGTCCATGTCCACGTCCATGTCCACGTCCACGTCCACGTCCACTTCCAGGTCCACGTCCACGTGCACGTCCATGTCCACGTCCACGTCCATGTCCACGTCCACGTCCACGTCCACCACGTCCACGTCCACGTCCACTTCCAGGTCCACGTCCACGTCCACGTCCACGTCCATGTCCATGTCCATGTCCACGTCCACGTCCATGTCCAAGTCCACGTCCAAGTCCACGTCCAAGTCCACGTCCACGTCCACGTCCACGTCCATGTCCACGTCCACGTCCACGTCCACGTCCACGTCCATGTCCACGTCCACGTCCACGTCCACGTCCACGTCCATGTCCACGTCCACGTCCATGTCCACGTCCACGTCCACGTCCACGTCCACGTCCACGTCCACGTCCACGTCCATGTCCACGTCCCGTCCACGTCCACGTCCACGTCCATGACCACGTCCATGTCCACGTCCACGTCCACGTCCACGTCCATGTCCACGTCCACGTCCACGTCTACGTCCACGTCCACGTCCACGTCCACGTCACGTCCACGTCCACGTCCACGTCCAGGTCCACGTCCACCTCCACGTCCACCTCCACGTCCACGTTCACGTCAACGTCCACGTCCAGGTCCACGTCCACGTCCACGTCCACGTCCACGTCCACGTCCATGTCCACCTCCACATCCACGTCCATGTCCACGTCCACGTCCACGTCCACGTCCATGTCCACGTCCATGTCCACGTCCACGTCCACGTCCACGTCCACGTCCACGTCCATGTCCACGTCCATGTCCACGTCCACGTCCACGTCCACCTCCACGTCCACGTCCACGTCCACGTCCACGTCTACGTCCACGTCACGTCCACATCCACGTCCACGTCCAGGTCCACGTCCACCTCCATGTCCACGTCCACGTCCACATCCACCTCCACGTCCATGTCCACGTCCATGTCCACGTCCACGTCCACGTCCACGTCCACGTCCATGTCCACGTCCACGTCCAAGTCCACGTCCATGTCCACGTCCACGTCTATGTCCAATTCCACGTCCATGTCCACGTCCACGTCCATGTCCACGTCCATGTCCACGTCCACGTCCACGTCCACGTCCATGTCCACGTCCACGTCCACGTCCATGTCCACGTCCACGTCCACGTCCACGTCCATGTCCACGTCCACGTCCACGTCCACGTCCACGTCCACGTCCATGTCCACGTCCATGTCCACGTCCATGTCCACGTCCATGTGCACGTGCACGTCCACGTCCATGTCCACGTCCACGTCCATGTCCATGTCCACGTCCACGTCCACGTCCACGTCCATGTCCACGTCCATGTGCACGTCCATGTGCACGTCCACGTCCACGTCCACGTCCACCTCCACGTCCACGTCCATGTCCACGTCCACGTCCACGTCCACGTCCATGACCACGTCCATGTCCACGTCCATGTCCACGTCCATGTCCACGTCCACGTCCACGTACATGTCCACGTCCACGTCCACGTCCATGTCCACGTCCATGTGCACGTCCACGTCCACGTCCACGTCCATGTCCACGTCCATGTCCACGTCCACGTCCACGTCCACGTCCATGTCCACGTCCACGTCCACGTCCATGTCCATGTCCACGTCCACGTCCACCTCCACGTCCATGTCCATGTCCACGTCCACGTCCACCTCCACGTCCACCTCCACGTCCACGTTCACGTCAACGTCCACGTCCAGGTCCACGTCCACGTCCACGTCCACGTCGACGTCCACGTCCATGTCCACCTCCACGTCCACGTCCATGTCCACGTCCACGTCCACGTCCACGTCCATGTCCACGTCCACGTCCATGTCCACGTCCACGTCCACGTCCACGTCCACGTCCACGTCCATGTCCACGTCCACGTCCACGTCCACGTCCACGTCCACCTCCACGTCCACGTCCACGTCTACGTCCACGTCACGTCCACATCCACGTCCACGTCCAGGTCCACGTCCACCTCCATGTCCACGTCCACGTCCACCTCCACGTCCATGTCCACGTCCATGTCCACGTCCACGTCCACGTCCACGTCCATGTCCACGTCCACGTCCAAGTCCACGTCCATGTCCACGTCCACGTCTATGTCCAAGTCCACGTCCATGTCCACGTCCACGTCCATGTCCACGTCCATGTCCACGTCCACGTCCACGTCCATGTCCACGTCCACGTCCATGTCCACGTCCACGTCCACGTCCACGTCCATGACCACGTCCACGTCCACGTCCACGTCCACGTCCACGTCCACGTCCATATCCACGTCCATGTCCACGTCCATGTCCACGTCCATGTGCACGTGCACGTCCACGTCCATGTCCACGTCCACGTCCATGTCCATGTCCACGTCCACGTCCATGTCCACGTCCATGTGCTCGTCCATGTGCACGTCCATGTCCACGTCCATGTCCACGTCCATGTCCACGTCCACGTCCACGTCCATGTCCACGTCCACGTCCACGTCCATGTCCACGTCCATGTGCACGTCCACGTCCACGTCCACGTCCATGTCCACGTCCATGTCCACGTCCACGTCCACGTCCACGTCCATGTCCACGTCCACGTCCACGTCCATGTCCATGTCCACGTCCACGTCCACGTCCACGTCCACGTCCATGTCCACGTCCATGTCCATGTCCATGTCCACGTCCATGTCCATGTCCACGTCCACGTCCACCTCCACGTCCATGTCCATGTCCACGTCCACGTCCACCTCCACGTCCACGTCCACGTCCACGTTCACGTCAACGTCCACGTCCAGGTCCACGTCCACGTCCACGTCCACGTCGACGTCCACGTCCATGTCCACCTCCACGTCCACGTCCATGTCCACGTCCACGTCCACGTCCACGTCCATGTCCACGTCCACGTCCATGTCCACGTCCACGTCCACGTCATCGTCCACGTCCACGTCCATGTCCACGTCCACGTCCACGTCCACGTCCACGTCCACCTCCACGTCCACGTCCACGTCTACGTCCACGTCACGTCCACGTCACGTCCACATCCACGTCCACGTCCAGGTCCACGTCCACCTCCATGTCCACGTCCACGTCCACCTCCACGTCCATGTCCACGTCCACGTCCACGTCCACGTCCACGTCCACGTCCACGTCCACGTCCATGTCCATGTCCACGTCCACGTCCACGTCCACGTCTATGTCCAAGTCCACGTCCATGTCCACGTCCACGTCCACGTCCACGTCCATGTCCACGTCCATGTGCACGTCCACGTCCACGTCCAGGTCCAGGTCCAGGTCCATGTCCACGTCCACGTCCACGTCCACGTCCATGTCCACGTCCACGTCCACGTCCACGTCCAGGTCCACGTCCACGTCCAGGTCCAGGTCCAGGTCCACGTCCACGTCCACGTCCACGTCCACGTCCACGTCCATGTCCACGTCCACGTCCACGTCCACGTCCATGTCCAAGTCCACGTCCACGTCCACGTCCACGTCCACGTCCATGTCCACGTCCATGTCCACGTCCACGTCCACGTCCATGTCCACGTCCACGTCCACGTCCACGTCCACGTCCATGTCCACGTCCACGTCCACGTCCACGTCCACGTCCATGTCCACGTCCACGTCCACATTCACGTCCATGTCCACGTCCACGTCCACGTCCATGTCCATGTCCACGTCCACGTCCACGTCCACGTCCACGTCCACGTCCATGTCCACGTCCATGTCCACGTCCACGTCCACGTCCACGTCCACGTCCACGTCCACGTCCACGTCCATGTGCACGTCCACGTCCACGTCCAGGTCCAGGTCCAGGTCCACGTCCACGTCCACGTCCACGTCCACGTCCACGTCCATGTTCACGTCCACGTCCACGTCCACGTCCAGGTCCACGTCCACGTCCAGGTCCAGGTCCAGGTCCACGTCCACGTCCACGTCCACGTCCACGTCCATGTCCACGTCCACGTCCACGTCCACGTCCATGTCCACGTCCACGTCCACGTCCACGTCCACGTCCATGTCCACGTCCACGTCCACGTCCACGTCCATGTCCATGTCCACGTCCACGTCCACGTCCACGTCCATGTCCACGTCCATGTCCACGTCCATGTCCACGTCCACGTCCACGTCCACGTCCATGTCCATGTCCACGTCCACGTCCACGTCCACGTCCACGTCCACGTCCACGTCCACGTCCAGGTCCACGTCCATGTCCACGTCCAGGTCCAGATCCACGTCCACGTCCACGTCCACGTCCACGTCCACGTCCATGTCCACGTCCACGTCCACGTCCACGTCCACGTCCATGTCCAAGTCCACGTCCACGTCCACGTCCACGTCCACGTCCATGTCCACGTCCATGTCCACGTCCACGTCCACGTCCACGTCCACGTCCACGTCCACGTCCACGTCCATGTCCATGTCCACGTCCACGTCCACGTCCATGTCCACGTCCACGTCCACGTCCATGTCCACCTCCACGTCCACGTCCACGTCCACGTCCACGTCCACGTCCACGTCCAAGTCCACGTCCAAGTCCACGTCCACGTCCACGTCCACGTCCATGTCCACGTCCATGACCACGTCCACGTCCACGTCCATGTCCACGTCCACGTCCACGTCCACGTCCAAGTCCACGTCCACGTCCACGTCCATGTCCACGTCCACGTCCACGTCCACGTCTATGTCCACGTCCATGTCCACGTCCACGTCCACGTCCACGTCTATGTCCACGTCCACGTCCACGTCCACGTCCATGTCCACGTCCACGTCCACCTCCACGTCCACGTCCAGGTCCACGTCCACCTCCACGTCCACGTCCACGTCCATGTCCACGTCCACGTCTACGTCCACGTCCATGTCCACGTCCATGTCTACGTCCAAGTCCACGTCCACGTCCACGTCCACGTCTATGTCCACGTCCATGTCCATGTCCACGTCCACGTCCACGTCCACGTCCATGTCCACGTCCACGTCCACGTCCATGTCCACGTCCACGTCCACGTCCACGTCCACGTCCATGACCACGTCCATGTCCACATCCACGTCCACGTCCACATCCACGTCCATGTTCACCCTTCACGTCCACGTCCATGTCCACGTTCACGTCCATGTCCACGTCCACGTCCATGTCCACGTCCACGTCCATGTCCACGTCCACATCCACGTCCACGTCCATGTCCATGTCCACGTCCACGTCCACCTCCATGTCCACGTCCACGTCCACGTCCACGTCCACATCCACGTCCATGTCCACGTCCATGTCCACGTCCATGTCCACGTCCACGTCTACGTCCACGTCCACGTCCATGTGCACGTCCACATCCACGTCCACGTCCACGTCCACGTCCACGTCCAAGTCCACGTCCACGTCCACGTCCATGTCCACGTCCACGTCCACGTTCACGTCCACGTCCACGTCCAGGTCCACCTCCACGTCCATGTCCAGGTCCACGTCCACGTCCACGTCCACGTCCACGTCCACGTCCACGTCCATGTCCACGTCCACGTCCACGTCCACGTCCACGTCCAAGTCCACGTCCACGTCCACGTCCACGTCTACGTCCATGTCCACGTCCACCTCCACGTCCACGTCCATGTCCACGTCCACGTCCATGTCCACGTCCACGTCCATGTCCACGTCCACGTCCACGTCCACGTCCACGTCCACGTCCACGTCCACGTCCATGTCCACGTCCACGTCCACGTCCACGTCCATGTCCACGTCCACGTCCACGTCCACGTCCACGTCCACGTCCATGTCCACGTCCAAGTCCACGTCCAAGTCCACGTCCACGTCCACGTCCACGTCCATGTCCACGTCCATGTCCACGTCCACGTCCACGTCCACGTCCATGTCCACGTCCACGTCCACGTCCACGTCCAAGTCCACGTCCACGTCCACGTCCATGTACACGTCCACGTCCACGTCCACGTCCACGTCTATGTCCACGTCCATGTCCACGTCCACGTCCACGTCCACTTCCAGGTCCACGTCCACGTCCACGTCCACGTCCACGTCCATGTCCACGTCCACGTCCACGTTCACGTCCATGTCCACGTCCACGTCCATGTCCATGTCCATGTCCACGTGCACGTCCACGTCCATGTCCACGTCCATGTCCACGTCCATGTCCACGTCCACGTCCATGTCCACGTTTACGTCCACGTCCACGTCCATGTCCACGTCCACGTCCACGTCCACGTCCACGTCCACGTCCATGTCCACGTCCATGTCCACGTCCACGTCCACGTCCACGTCCATGTCCACGTCCACGTCCATGTCCATGTCCACGTCCACGTCCATGTCCACCTCCATGTCCACCTCCACGTCCACGTCCATGTCCACCTCCACGTCCACCTCCACGTCCACGTCCATGTCCATGTCTACCTCCACGTCCATGTCCACGTCCATGTCCAGGTCCTCGTCTACGTCCACGTCCACGTCCACGTCCACGTCCACCTCCATGTCCACGTCCACGTCCACGTCCACGTCCATGTCCATCCCCACGTCCACGTCCACGTCCACGTCCACGTCCATGTCCACGTTCATGTCCACGTCCACGTCCACGTCCACGTCCACATCCATGTCCACCTCCACGTCCACGTCCACGTCCACGTCCAAGTCCACGTCGACGTCCATGTCCATGTCCACGTCCACGTCCATGTCCACGTCCACGTCCACGTCCACGTCCACGTCCATGTCCACGTCCACGTCCACGTCCACGTCCACGTCCATGTCCATGTCCACGTCCACGTCTACGTCCACGTCCACGTCACGTCCACGTCCATGTCCACGTCCACGTCACGTCCACGTCCACGTCCACGTCCAGGTCCACGTCCACGTCCACGTCCACGTCCACGTCCAGGTCCACGTCCACGTCAACGTCCACGTCCACGTCCACGTCCAGGTCCACGTCGACGTCCACGTCCACGTCCACCTCCACGTCCACGTCCACGTCCATGTCCACGTCCACCTCCACGTCCATGTCCACGTCCACGTCCACGTCCACGTCCATGTCCACGTCCACGTCCACGTCCACGTCCACGTCCACGTCCACCTCCACGTCCATGTCCACGTCCACGTCCATGTCCACGTCCAAGTCCACGTCCACGTCCACGTCCATGTCCACGTCCACGTCCATGTCCACGTCCACGTCCACGTCCACGTCCACGTCCACGTCCAGGTCCACGTCCACCTCCACGTCCATGTCCACGTCCACGTCCACGTCCACGTCCATGTCCACGTCCACGTCCACATCCACGTCCACGTCCACGTCCACGTCCACCTCCACGTCCATGTCCACGTCCACGTCCATGTCCATGTCCAAGTCCACGTCCACGTCCACGTCCATGTCCACGTCCACGTCCATGTCCACGTCCACGTCGACGTCCACGTCCACGTCACGTCCACCTCCACGTCCACGTCCACGTCCACGTCCACCTCCACGTCCACCTCCACGTCCACGTTCACGTCCACGTCCACGTCCACGTCCACGTCCATGTCCACCTCCACGTCCACGTCCATGTCCACGTCCACGTCCACGTCCATGTCCACGTCCACGTCCATGTCCACGTCCACGTCCATGTCCACGTTCACGTCAACGTCCACGTCCATGTCCACGTCCACGTCCTGGTCCACGTCCACGTCCATGTCCACGTCCACGTCCACATCCACGTCCACGTCCATGTCCACGTCCACGTCCACGTCCACGTCCATGACCATGTCCACGTCCATGTCCACGTCCATGTCCACGTCCATGTCCACGTCCACGTCCACGTCCACGTCCATGTCCACGTCCACGTCCATGTCCACGTCCACGTCCACGTCCACGTCCACGTCCAGGTCCACGTCCACGTGCACGTCCACGTCCATGTCCACGTCCACGTCCACGTCCACGTCCAAGTCCATGTCCACGTCCACGTCCACGTCCACGTCCATGTCCACGTCCACGTCCACGTCCACGTCCACGTCCACGTCGATGTCCACGTCCACGTCCACGTCCACGTCCATGTCCACGTCCACGTCCACGTCCACGTCCATGTCCACGTCCACGTCCACGTCCATGTCCACGTCCACGTCCACGTCCACGTCCATATCCACGTCCACGTCCACGTCCACGTCCACGTCCACGTCCACGTCCACGTCCACGTCCACGTCCACGTCCACGTCCACGTCCACGTCCACGTCAACGTCCAAGTCCACGTCCACGTCTACGTCCACGTCCACGTCCACGTCCACGTCTACGTCCACGTCCACGTCCACTTCCAGGTCCACGTCCACGTCCACGTGCACGTCCACGTCCACGTCCACGTCCATGTCCACGTCCACGTCCACGTCCACGTCCATGTCCACGTCCATGTCCATGTCCATGTCCACGTGCACGTCCACGTCCATGTCCACGTCCATGTCCACGTCCACGTCCACTTCCAGGTCCACGTCCACGTCCACGTGCACGTCCACGTCCTCGTCCACGTCCATGTCCACGTCCACGTCCACGTCCACGTCCACGTCCACGTCCACGTCCACGTCCACGTCCATGTCCACGTCCATGTCCACGTCCACGTCCACGTCCACGTCCATGTCCACGTCCATGTCCACGTCCACGTCCACGTCCATGACCACGTCCATGTCCACGTCCACGTCCACGTCCACGTCCATGTCCACGTCCACGTCCATGTCCACCTCCACGTCCACGTCCATGTCCACCTCCACGTCCACGTCCATCTCCACCTCCACGTCCACGTCCATGTCCATGTCCACCTCCACGTCCATGTCCACGTCCACGTCCAGGTCCTCGTCCACGTTCACGTCCACGTCCACGTCCATGTCCACGTCCACGTCCACGTCCACGTCCATCTCCACGTCCACGTCCACGTCCACGTTCATGTCCACGTCCACGTCCACGTCCACGTCCACGTCCAAGTCCACGTCCAAGTCTACGTCCAAGTCCACGTCCACGTCCACGTCCACGTCCATGTCCACGTCCACGTCCACGTCCACGTCCACGTCCAAGTCCACGTCCAAGTCCACGTCCGTCCACGTCCACCTCCACGTCCACGTCCATGACCACGTCCATGTCCACGATCAGGTCCACGTCCACGTCCACTCCACGTCCATGTCCATGTCCACGTCCACCTCCACGTCCACGTCCATGACCACGTCCATGTCCACGTCCACGTCCACGATCAGGTCCACGTCCACGTCCACGTCCACTCCACGTCCATGTCCATGTCCACGTCCACGTACACGTCCATGTCCACGTCCACGTACACGTCCATGTCCACGTCCACGTCCACGTCCACATCCACGTCCACGTCCACGTCCATGTCCACGTCCATGTCCACGTCCATGTCCACCTCCACGTCCACGTCCATGTCCACGTCCATGTCCACATCCATGTCCACGTCCATGTCCACGTCCACGTCCATGTCCATGTCCACGTCCACATCCATGTCCACATCCACATCCACGTCCATGTCCACGTCCATGTCCACGTCCACGTCCATGTCCACGTCCACATCCACATCCATGTCCACGTCCATGTCCACGTACACGTCCATGTCCATGTCCACGTCCACGTCCACGTCCACATCCACGTCCACGTCCACGTCCATGTCCACGTCCATGTCCACATCCATGTCCACCTCCACGTCCACGTCCATGTCCACGTCCACGTCCACCTCCACCTCCACGTCCACGTCCACGTCCACGTCCACGTCCATGTCCACGTCCACGTCCACGTCCACGTCCACGTCCATGTCCACGTCCACGTCCACCTCCACCTCCACCTCCACGTCCACATCTACGTCCATGGCCATGTCCACGTCCATGTCCACGTCCACGTCCACGTCCACGTCCACGTCCAGGTCCACGTCCATGTCCACGTCCACATCCACGTCCACGTCCATGTCCACATCCACGTCCACCTCCACGTCTATGTCCACGTCCATGTCCACGTCCACGTCCACGTCCACGTCCATGTCCACGTCCACGTCCACGTCCAAGTCCACGTCCACGTCCATGTCCACGTCCACGTCCACGTCCACGTCCACGTCCACGTCCATGTCCACGTCCATGTCCACGTCCACGTCCACCTCCACGTCCACGTCCACGTCCATGTCCACGTCCACGTCCACGTCCACGTCCACGTCCATGTCCACGTCCACGTCCACGTCCAGGTCCACGTCCACGTCCACGTCCACGTCCACGTCCACGTCCATGTCCACGTCCAAGTCCACGTCCAAGTCCACGTCCACGTCCACGTCCACGTCCATGTCCACGTCCAGGTCCACGTCCACGTCCACGTCCACGTCCATGTCCACGTCCACGTCCACGTCCACGTCCAAGTCCACGTCCACGTCCACGTCCATGTCCACGTCCACGTCCACGTCCACGTCTATGTCCACGTCCATGTCCACGTCCACGTCCACGTCCACTTCCAGGTCCACGTCCACGTCCACGTGCACGTCCACGTCCACGTCCACGTCCACGTCCATGTCCACGTCCACGTCCACGTCTATGTCCACGTCCACGTCCACGTCCATGTCCATGTCCACGTCCACGTCCACGTCCATGTCCACGTCCACGTCCACGTCCATGTCCATGTCCACGTCCATGTCCACGTCCATGTCCACGTCCACGTCCATGTCCACGTTTACGTCCACGTCCACGTCCATGTCCCCGTCCACATCCACGTCCACGTCCATGTCCACGTCCATGTCCACGTCCACGTCCACGTCCACGTCCATGTCCACGTCCATGTCCACGTCCACGTCCATGTCCACGTCTATGTCCACGTCCACGTCCACGTCCATGTCCATGTCCACGTCCACGTCCACGTCCATGTCCACGTCCACGTCCATGTCCATGTCCACGTCCATGTCCACGTCCATGTCCACGTCCACGTCCATGTCCACGTTTACGTCCACGTCAACGTCCATGTCCACGTCCACATCCACGTCCACGTCCATGTCCACGTCCATGTCCACGTCCACGTCCACGTCCACGTCCATGTCCACGTCCACGTCCACGTCCATGTCCACCTCCACGTCCACGTCCATGTCCACCTCGACGTCCACGTCCATGTCCATGTCCACCTCCACGTCCATGTCCACGTCCACGTCCAGGTCCTCGTCCACGTCCACGTCCACGTCCACGTCCACGTCCACGTCCATGTCCACGTCCACGTCCACGTCCACGTCCACGTCCATCTCCACGTCCACGTCCACGTCCACGTTCACGTCCACGTCTACGTCCACGTCCACGTCCACGTCCAAGTCCACGTCCAAGTCCACGTCCAAGTCCACGTCCACGTCCACGTCCACGTCCAGGTCCACGTCCACGTCCACGTCCACGTCCAAGTCCACGTCCATGTCCACGTCCAAGTCCACGTCCACGTCCACGTATACGTCGATGTGCACGTCCATGTCCACGTCCACGTCCATGTCCACGTCCACGTCCACGTCCACGTCCACGTCCACGTCCACGTCCATGTCCACGTCCACGTCCACGTCCACGTCCATGACCACGTCCATGTCCACGTCCACGTCCACGTCCATGTCCACGTCCACGTCCACGTCTACGTCCACGTCCACGTCACGTCCACGTCCACGTCCACGTCCACGTCCACGTCCACGTCCACGTCCACGTCCACGTCCACGTCCACGTCCACGATCAGGTCCACCTCCACGTCCATGTCCATGTCCACCTCCACGTCCACGTCCATGTCCACCTCCACGTCCACGTCCATGTCCATGTCCACGTCCACGTCCACGTCCCCGTCCATGTCCACGTCCACGTCCACGTCCATGTCCACCTCCACGTCCATGTCCATGTCCACCTCCACGTCCATGTCCATGTCCACGTCCACCTCGACGTCCATGTCCATGTCCACGTCCACGTCCATGTCCACGTCCAGGTCCACGTCCATGTCCACGTCCATGTCCACGTCCACGTCCACGTCCATGTCCACGTCCACGTCCACCTCCACGTCTATGTCCACGTCCATGTCCACGTCCACGTCCACGTCCACGTCCATGTCCAGGTCCACGTCCATGTCCATGTCCAGGTCCATGTCCACGTCCATGTCCACGTCCACGTCCACGTCCATGTCCACGTCCACGTGCACGTCCATGTCCACGTCCACGTCCATGTCCACGTCCATGTCCACGTCCATGTCCACGTCCATGTCCACGTCCATGTCCACGTCCATGTCCACGTCCATGTCCACGTCCATGTCCACGTCCACGTCCACGTCCACGTCCACGTCCACGTCCATGTCCACGTCCACGTCCACGTCCACGTCCACGTCCACGTCCACGTCCACGTCCACGTGCACGTCCACGTCCATGTCCACGTCCACGTCCACGTCCACGTCCACGTCCATGTCCACGTCCACGTCCATGTCCACGTCCACGTCCACGTCCACGTCCATGTCCACGTCCACGTCCACGTCCACGTCCACGTCCACGTCCACCTCCACGTCCACCTCCACGTCCACGTCCATATCCACGTCCACGTCCACGTCCACGTCCATGTCCACGTCCACGTTCCACGTCCACGTCCATGTCCATGTCCATGTCCACGTCCACGTCCACGTCCACGTCCACGTCCATGTCCACGTCCAAGTCCACGTCCGGCCAGACTGGCCGATGCACCATTTTCTTTACACATGTGCGTTAGTTACCTTTCAAACCCTTACGTTCACTCGATTAATATATTTCCTACCTTAAATTTGAGTGAGACCACTAGATTCCGCGTACTATGCGAGATCTGAGCGGTTCTGTTCTCCCAGGCATTTGCACTCTAAGTTCCCATACTGACCGACCTGGCCAATGCACCATTTTCCATATACATATGCATTAGATTCCTTTCGAACCTTATTAGCTCACTAGATTTATATATTTCCCACCTTCTGATCGAGTGAGACCGCTAGATTCCCTCTACTTTTTGAGAAACGAGCGTTTTCGTTCTCCCGGGCCCCACTTGCACTATAAGTGCGAAATGCCGGCCAGACTGGCCGATGCACCATTTTCTCTACACATGTGCATTAGTTACCTTTCAAACCCTTACGTTCACTTGATTAATATATTTCATACCTTGTATTTGAGTGAGACCACTAGATTCCGTGTACAATGCGAGATCTAAGCGGTTCCGTTCTCCCAGGCATTTGCACTCTAAGTTCCCATACTGACCGACTTGGCCAATGCACCATTTTCCATATACATATGCATTAGATTCCTTTCAAACCTTATTAGCTCACTAGATTTATATATTTCCCACCTTCTGATCGAGTGAGACCACTAGATTCCCTCTACTTTTTGAGAAACGAGCGTTTCCGTTCTCCCTGGAACCACTTGCACTATAAGTGCGAAATGCCGGCCAGACTGGCCGATGCACCATTTTCTCTACACATGTGCGTTAGTTACCTTTCAAACCCTTACGTTCACTCGATTAATATATTTCCTACCTTATATTTGAGTGAGACCACTATATTTCGTGTACTATGCGAGATCTAAGCGGTTCCGTTCTCCCAGGCATTTGCACTCTAAGTTCCCATACTGACCGACCTGGCCAATGCACTATTTTCCATATACATATGCATTAGATTCCTTTCAAACCTTATTAGCTCACTATATTTATATATTTCCCACCTTCTGATCGAGTGAGACCACTAGATTCCCTCTACTTTTTGAGAAACGAGCGTTTCCGTTCTCCCTGGCTCTACTTGCACTATAAGTGCGAAATGCCAGACAGACTTGCCGATGCACCATTTTCTCTACACATGTGCGTTAGTTACCTTTCAAACCCTTACGTTCACTCAATTAATATATTTCCTACCTTATATTTGAGTGAGACCACTAGATTCCGTGTACTATGCAAGATCTGAGCGGTTCCGTTCTCCCAGGCATTTGCACTCTAAGTTCCCATACTGACCGACCTGGCCAATGCACCATTTTCCATATACATATGCATTAGATTCCTTTCAAACCTTATTAGCTCACTAGACTTATATATTTCCCACCTTCTGATCGAGTGAGACCGCTAGATTCCCTCTACTTTTTGAGAAACGAGCGTTTCCGTTCTCCCTGGCCCCACTTGCACTATAAGTGCGAAATGCCGGCCAGACAGACCGATGCACCATTTTCTCTACGCATGTGCGTTAGTTACCTTTCAAACCCTTACGTTCACTCGATTAATATATTTCCTACCTTATATTTGAGTGAGACCACTAGATTCCGTGTACTATGCGAGATCTGAGCGGTTCCGTTCTCCCAGGCATTTGCACTCTAAGTTCCCATGCTGACCGACCTGGCCAATGCACCATTTTCCACATACATATGCATTAGATTCCTTTCAAACCTTATTAGCTCACTAGACTTATATATTTCCCACCTTCTGATCGAGTGAGACCGCTAGATTCCCTCTACTTTTTGAGAAACGAGCGTTTTCGTTCTCCCTGGCCCCACTTGCACTATAAGTGCGAAATGCCGGCCAGACAGACCGATGCACCATTTTCTCTACGCATGTGCGTTAGTTACCTTTCAAACCCTTACGTTCACTCGATTAATATATTTCCTACCTTATATTTGAGTGAGACCACTAGATTCCGTGTACTATGCGAGATCTGAGCGGTTCCGTTCTCCCAGGCATTTGCACTCTAAGTTCCCATACTGACTGACCTGGCCAATGCACCATTTTCCATATGCATATGTGATAGATTCCTTTCGAACCTTATTAGCTCGCTACATTCATATATTTCCCACCTTCTGATCGAGTGAGACCGCTAGATTCCCTCTACTTTTTGAGAAACGAGCGTTTCCGTTCTCCCTGGCCCCACTTGCACTATAAGTGCGAAATGCCGACCAGACTGGCCGATGCACCATTTTCTCTACACATGTGCGTTAGTTACCTTTCAAACCCTTACGTTCACTCAATTAATATATTTCCTACCTTATATTTGAGGGAGACCACTAGATTCCGTGTACTATGCGAGATCTGAGCGGTTCCGTTCTCCCAGGCATTTGCACTCTAAGTTCCCATACTGACCGACCTGGTCAATGCACCATTTTCCATATACATATGCATTAGATTCCTTTCAAACCTTATTAGCTCACTAGATTTATATATTTCCCACCTTTTGATCGAGTGAGACCGCTAGATTCCCTCTACTTTTTGAGAAACGAGCGTTTCCGTTCTCCCTGGCCCCACTTGCACTATAAGTGCGAAATGCTGGCCAGACTGGCCGATGCACCATTTTCTCTACACATCTGCGTTAGTTACCTTTCAAACCCTTATGTTCACTCGATTAATATATTTCCTACCTTATATTTGAGTGAGACCACTAGATTCCGTGTACTATGCGAGATCTGAGCGGTTCTGTTCTCCCAGGCATTTGCACTCTAAGTTCCCATACTGACCGACCTGGCCAATGCACCATTTTCCATATACATATGCATTAGATTCCTTTCAAACCTTATTAGCTCACTAGATTTATATATTTCCCACCTTTTGATCGAGTGAGACCGCTAGATTCCCTCTACTTTTTGAGAAACGAGCGTTTCCGTTCTCCCTGGCCCCACTTGCACTATAAGTGCGAAATGCTGGCCAGACTGGCCGATGCACCATTTTCTCTACACATCTGCGTTAGTTACCTTTCAAACCCTTATGTTCACTCGATTAATATATTTCCTACCTTATATTTGAGTGAGACCACTAGATTCCGTGTACTATGCGAGATCTGAGCGGTTCCGTTCTCCCAGGCATTTGCACTCTAAGTTCCCATACTGACCGACCTGGCCAATGCACCATTTTCCATATACATATGCATTAGATTCCTTTCAAACCTTATTAGCTCACTAGATTGATATATTTCCCACCTTCTGATCGAGTGAGACCGCTAGATTCCCTCTACTTTTTGAGAAACGAGCGTTTCCGTTCTCCCTGGTCCCACTTGCACTATAAGTGCGAAATGCCGGCCAGACTGGCCGATGCACCAATTTCTCTACACATGTGCGTTAGTTACCTTTCAAACCCTTACTTTCACTCGATTAATATATTTCCTACCTTATATTTGAGTGAGACCACTAGATTCCGCGTACTATGCGAGATCTGAGCGGTTCCGTTCTCCCAGGCATTTGCACTCTAAGTTCCCATACTGACCGACCTGGCCAATGCACCATTTTCCATATACATATGCATTAGATTCCTTTCGAACCTTATTAGCTCACTAGATTTATATATTTCCCACCTTCTGATCGAGTGAGATTGCTAGATTCCCTTTACTTTTTGAGAAACGAGCGTTTCCGTTCTCCCTGGCCCCACTTGCACTGTAAGTGCGAAATGCCGGCCAGACTGGCCGATGCACCATTTTCTCTACACATGTGCATTAGTTACCTTTCAAACCCTTACGTTCACTCGATTAATATATTTTCTACCTTATATTTGAGTGAGACCACTAGATTCCGCGTACTATGCGAGATCTGAGCGGTTCCGTTCTCCCAGGCATTTGCACTCTAAGTTCCCATACTGACCGACCTGGCCAATGCACCATTTTCCACATACATGTGCATTAGATTCCTTTCAAACCTTATTAGCTCACTAGATTTATATATTTCCCACCTTCTGATCGAGTGAGGCCGCTAGATTCCCTCTACTTTTTGAGAAACGAGCGTTTCCGTTCTCCCTGGCCCCACTTGCACTATAAGTGCGAAATGCCGGCCAGACTGGCCGATGCACCATTTTCTCTACACATCTGCGTTAGTTACCTTTCAAACCCTTATGTTCACTCGATTAATATATTTCCTACCTTATACTTGAGTGAGACCACTAGATTCCGTGTAATATGCGAGATCTGAGCGGTTCCGTTCTCCAAGGCATTTGCACTCTGAGTTCCCATACTGACCGACCTGGCCAATGCACTATTTTCCATATACATATGCATTAGATTCCTTTCAAACCTTATTAGCTCACTATATTTATATATTTCCCACCTTCTGATCGAGTGAGACCGCTAGATTCCCTCTACTTTTTGAGAAACGAGCGTTTCCGTTCTCCCTGGCTCTACTTGCACTATAAGTGCGAAATGCCAGACAGACTGGCCGATGCACCATTTTCTCTACACATGTGCGTTAGTTACCTTTCAAACCCTTACGTTCACTCGATTAATATATTTCCTACCTTATATTTGAGTGAGACCACTAGATTCCGTGTACTATGCGAGATCTGAGCGGTTCTGTTCTCCCAGGCATTTGCACTCTAAGTTCCCATACTGACCGACCTGGCCAATGCACCATTTTCCATATACATATGCATTAGATTCCTTTCAAACCTTATTAGCTCACTAGATTTATATATTTCCCACCTTTTGATCGAGTGAGACCGCTAGATTCCCTCTACTTTTTGAGAAACGAGCGTTTCCGTTCTCCCTGGCCCCACTTGCACTATAAGTGCGAAATGCTGGCCAGACTGGCCGATGCACCATTTTCTCTACACATCTGCGTTAGTTACCTTTCAAACCCTTATGTTCACTCGATTAATATATTTCCTACCTTATATTTGAGTGAGACCACTAGATTCCGTGTACTATGCGAGATCTGAGCGGTTCTGTTCTCCCAGGCATTTGCACTCTAAGTTCCCATACTGACCGACCTGGCCAATG